TATATATATATATATATATATATATGACTTTGATAAGTATCTTCCAACTAATTAAAATATTATGAACAAGGAGAACGATCTTATAAGTATGAAAATTGCATTAATAAAAAGGGAATGTATAAGAACGCATCGTGATACTGTCAAAAGAGTCGTCAAAAGACCCAAAGGTCTACCAAAATAAACAAGAACTAAAAGTAAATTATAAGCAAATAGAGCATATAGAAAGGTAAATAAATGAGCACACCAACATCTTATTTGGAGCAAACTCTCATTTTGACTTACTATGTTTCTGATATGTGATGAGACTAAAATCAATATCTAATAAGATTAAAATCAATATCTATTTTCTGACTCGATAGTGGTATATATCTTGGGATGAGATTCAAATTATTTTCAGTGACAATAAATATATTATTTAATAAAAGAATCAATTTCACTATTTTTTGAGTGGAGGTCTCTGCAATAAATAAAAGGGGTAGAGTCCATAAGAGAAGTGTCCATATGAGCCTCATTAACAAGATGATAAACACTCGAAGGTAACTTTTTTTTCTCAATTATGCTAAATTCTCTGCAAGAGGATGTATTTTAGCTGAAAAAACTGTAATTTCTTCAATAAAATGGAGCCATTTAAAATATGATCTTTTGCCAATAGCTCGTTTTTTAGTTCCAAAAGCCATAGTTCTATCAGTTTCAACAATACCAATGCCACCAATGGGTGATAAGGATAAGACATTAATCACAACAGTCCAAAGCTTGTTCGGTCAAGCCTTCAAACCATAACAAAAAGATTAATCAGAGCCACCAAAGGAAAGCCTCCTTTATTATAATACACACAATGTTTCCTACATTGTTAGCATGTACCGATACCAATGTAACAACTAAAATGCAATGAAGAAATAGCATTGTTTTTCTTATCTTCTCGTTCTCTGCTCTTTTCCTATCATTTCTCTGCTTAAGCTTTAACTCTCTGGCTTATACTCTATTTCAGCCTTTCAACGTGATATTAAAATTATGGAAGATGAAATGCATATCACTCAAATATTATATATTTACATGCCTAACACCTAAATTTCAATTGTTACGTATATGCCACCTTGACTTTAAAGTCTACTTAGATGGCACAATCATTAAACTGAACAAATATCTTCTCAATATCGATGGCTACAACACACCAATTTCTTATCCACCACATGCATGGTGGTTGACCAAAACCTTGGAGCAACCCTTTATTGATCATGCATCCATCCTTACAATTTTCTCTGACCGAATAACTAGTGCTAAAAATTGATCCACAATCAATCACCGCTTCAAGTCAAGTAATCACTCATGCATTCTCCAATTGATAAATTAAATCCATTACATGCCCATGAACCAACACCTTGCTGATATTGAGGCTAAAATCAATTGCAGTCATAAAAACCATTTAACCCAAAATATACCATTATCTAACTTTAAATAGTTTACCACCAAGCTACCAAGGATTCAGAACTATTCTCAAGTCAAATTGTTAACCAATTAGTTTGGATGATCTCTACCCAATGTCGTGCTTCGAAGAAAAAAAAATGGTGAATGAAGCATTTGATATCTCTAACAATCCTACTTGAACAACTCCTTGCTCAAGCATTTTATGCTTTGAAGGTAAACTTGGTGAATGAGGCATCTTCCAATCTGAAACCTATATGTTATGGTTTATTCTTGTCCAGACTTATCATATACAATCATTGTATTCAACAAGTACATGAGTAATCTGAATAAAGACCATTGGAAAATAGTTTGATAGATTCCTAACTATTTGAAAAGAGCAAAACATGCTTCTTGCAGTTTAAGTGAATGCCAAATAGAGTCATTGACTATATTGATTTAGACTTTGCTATAAATTTTGTTAGGAGATCACATACAATCTTTGTGGTTATTATTAGCGACTATGTGATTAACTCAAAAGCCATTTTGTAAAGCATAGTGCTATTGTCTACAATTGAAGTTAAATACATGATAATTACTAAAGCTTGTAAAGAGACTCTTTGACTGAAAATTTTATTTGTAGAGCTTTGTGAAAACTTGAATATTACACAATGATGTGCGACAATTGAAGTGTTATTTGTCTTACTAAAATTTGGATGTTTTATGAGAGAACTACACGTATTGATGTTTGTTATCACTTTTTTCATGAAATTATTGCTTTTGGTGACATTCTTAAGAGTAAAATTTGTACCCATGATAATCCTATTGATATAATAATTAAGACACTCGTAATTACAAAGTTTGAGTACTTCTTAGATTTGGTTGGTATTCATTATTTATCCTTAAGCTTTTTTTAATGGAAGAGATAGACAATACTTTATCAAAGATTAAAGATTTATTCAACATTCTTTTAGGAGTTTATTTCAAAACAAAGATTATTGAAATCTATAACATGAATTTTATGGGTCCCACTCACTATAGTATATAATTATATGCACGTGGATTGAAGGTCTCTACCATTGAATTGATCTTATAATAGCTTTCATATTACAATTTGTTTGCTTTTATCTTTATTAGCCCTCACTCAAGTAATATTCTTATCTCTGTGCACAAAGGATTATCCTCTTTTCTTAGTTCATATTTGTATGACATAATGCTCTCCACTTATAACTTTCTCTTTCGATATAGTGAATTTCCCTCATCGGCTCTTGATTTTTTTCATTTTAGATTTTTAATGTATAATGTGTGTTATTTCTCTTATTTATTTTATTATTTTTTGTATCAATTTTATAACAAACCAATCTCCATATGCTAATGAAATACTAAATAGAGTTGGTATAGCATCTAGCAAACCTATATAAAAACCAACTATAACAAAGATAGTATCCCCATACGCACATATATAGATTTCTACAACTCCTAAACTTAACCATTACTCATATAGATATTTTTATTTTCCATCAACAAGCCTTTAAACATATACACAAACCACTTCACTATTACTATCAATGTTTTCAATGATTACTTTGCAGCCTTCAAAGTATAATCATCACATTTAGCATGTTGATGACAAAAAAAAAACACATCTACATGCCTAATCTAACAATGATCGGGAAGATAACACCGCAAGCTACATATCTACAATAAGCTATTACAAATTGATCTCATGGTGTATCGAAAAAAAATCCATTGTGACTTCATCATCAAAAGAAGCTAGTTACCATTCACTTAACTTCACAACCATTGATGTCATATGGCTTCACCGCCTACTTCAAGAATTACAAGTTCTCTTATAGCACCCCGCCCACTTTATAGTAAAATGTCTCAACCTTTCACTAGCAAATAAAGAAAACTTTCAAGTCAGTACAAAGCATATAAAAATCAATCATCACATTATTTGTGATTACATTGAGTCTCAAAATATTTATGTACATCACATTTCCTCTCAATATCAACTCAAACTTATATATTGACCAAACCTCTCATCATTTCTCAATTTCACTAATAGCTTACTAAGTCGATGCTTCATGATAAGACAATCAACTTATTAGGGAGCATTACATTTCAAAGCCTATATCTTCATAGTAACTACGTATGTACTAACCATCCCAACCCATCTAGGCCTTCAATCAATTACAAACGAACAAATCAAGATGTTAAAGGATAACTGTGTGAGACTATGAAAACATAATGAAGAAAGAAGTTATTGTTCTTAACCTATCATTCTCTGCTCTTATCCTGTGTTTGCCTTGCTTAATATTAAACTCTATAGATTATGCTACACTTCAGCTCATTAATAGTTGACACATTCACAATTAATAAGTTATTGTGAAAAAACTAAGGAGAAGAATATCAATAGGTGATAGTCAAGTATAGAGATATGAATCATGTGAATATATATTAATGAGTGTATTATAGTGAATTAAATTCACTTATATATTGCAGAGACTACTGTGGTATACTCTATATATATAAGAGATGAGATAGAGATGAAGATTCCAGAGTTAGATTATATAGATAAGAGCTTTGGTAGTTGGAGATGAACTTTCAAGAGGAGAGAGGAGATACGAGATTTGTACTGCTTCACTATCTAGCATGAATTCACATAAGCACAACAATATGAATTTACATAAGTGTAGT